CTCACCATAGGGGCCTCAATCTGCCCCCCCATAACCCTTCCCTTCCCTTCCCCCCTTTCCCCCTACACACTTACCTGTTGGGCAGTGTTTGTGTGTGTGTGGGTGTGCCTGTGCGTGTAGAAATATCTTTTAAGTTTAAGTTTTACTCAGCCCCTCCAAATAAGATTTTCTCCCTCTGCCTATGCTCCTGGGCAGGTATGGGAGGGCATGTGCCCCCTAGATCTGTAAACAGGGTGAGGGTGGGCTGCCATTGCAGACTGCTCTGGGTGCCAAACTTTGTTGTTACGGCACTTGTAATTGGGTCTGAAATCTATTCCTGCAGCCTTTTTTTGCCAACACCAAATGAGTCCCCTATTGGTCATGACCTTGACAGAGAAGTGTGGGTCAGGCTGAACAGACTGAGATCTAGATATGGATGCTTCAAAACAACACTTCATAAGATGAACATCTTGGACAGCTCACTGTGTGAGTGAGGTGTCCAGCAAACAGCATAGCACTTATTCAAAAGCTGAAAACTTTAAATATATGCAGATGAGGTAACCGGAACCCACATACTGTGCAATAATACCAGACAGTGGCACATAGCTGGTTGGAGGGAATGGGCTGGGGGAGGAGGGGTTTTTAACAGGCAGTTCACCACCTCAGGTCACTAGGGGTGGGATCGGCCTGGTTGTGAGGCAGACCGCGTGAGCTCTGGCTGAGGCTAGCGTGCTGGCCTGGGAGGTGGGATGAGCAGGGTGCTGCAAAGCCCATGGGTTGCCAGTGGAATGTGACCTAACATGAGCTGCGATCAGATCTGGTACAGAAGTTCATTATGGTGTTCTAATGTACAGTGCCGAAGTCTGATACCACATCTATCCAGGGGTCATCTTAGAGTGGGATCCACCAGTTTTACAGCATTCTATGTACCCTGTCTGTTCAATTACAGTTGTTAAGTATTTTCTGGACACTTACTGTGCAATAAATGTAACTTCTACACCAAGCCTCCGAGTCATGGTGATATTCTTCTTTCTCTGTTCAACCAATGTGAGCTGGAAATGAATCTGACCCAGATTCTGGTTATATCAATGGAACTATAGATACCACCTTAGACATAGAAATGTGAAGAGAATCACTGCAGTGTGTTGAGTTAAATAGCTTATTAATGCACCTCTCAATTTTTGGTCATTTTTAATAATAAAAGGATCTAAAGGGGGACATTGTAGTTCTAACCTTTCACAGTGATGAGCTCTTATTTTCTGTCTTGAACTGTTTTCAACCTTGCTGTGCAAGTAGAGGATAATTGTATCTCAGACATTTTACGTCTCTCAAAAAAATCTGTTTGTCTCATTTGATGGACTTGAGCAGTTGCAAGATCAGCATATCCCAAATATGCTTCATAAGCCAAAGGAATGGTCTGTGACAATGTACCCTGATGCCACAGTGTATTGCTTAAACTGTTTCCTTTTGTTAATTTACATTCTTCAGGGAAGATCTGATATATGTGCCATGAAGATATCCAAGGGTATTTTTGATCATAAAATCTAATGATAAAACTAAATTAGTTTTTCTGTTTTTGTAAAAACCTGGAGCTAAGAATTCAGTTAGCCTTGGGCAAAGGAAAATCCTTCATTATTAAGCTAATTATGTGGGGGTCAGATTTTGATCATTATAGTTACATAAAATAAGTACTGTAGTTATTGAGTTACCACAATGATTTTGACTGGATTACCTGAGGAGAAAGAAAACACAAGTCTACCTCAGAGTGTCAGACTCTACCCCTTGCTGCCTCTTGGTGGTATATACAGCTATACCACAGAATTTAATGGAACTGCACCAGCGTATAGGATAAAAGCACAGGCCCAGTCAATATAGAAGTTAGTTCTTACTTGTTACAGCTTTCTTTTTTTGTTTCTTCTTTTCCTGTACTTGAAAATGTTGTTTTTCTGAAAGCAATCAGCCAGATGGCTTTGGACATGAATCTAAACTTCACAACTGACTTCACAAGATTTACACCAGCTGAGTCTTTGGTCCTCTGACATTCTCTTTATTTAGCATGGGCACTGTCAGAATGAACTACCATGCCATGGACTGAAATCTGTTTTGGAAGCACTATATGTGGGACTGGGGGCTCAACCATCATCTCATTTCAGTTCTCACTTTTCTCCTGAGAAGAAAAAAATAAAAAGGTTCACTAATGCTACCAACTCATTTCACAGATGCTACTACACAAGTGTCAATGGCAATAACTTTCAGATAATATAAGGTAAAAAGGCTTTGTATCTCATTATCCATTCTGGGAGCCACCCAGGTTCCCATCACACACAGTTCTCTGACAACTCATGTTTTGTGCATACATGCTGCTATATAATGGATATTCCATGTTAGATTTTAGTTTAATCCATCAAATATGTCTGGAGGTCTGGTGCTTTTCTGCTCCTCTGTGAATGGTGAATATATTAGAGATGGGTCCCCGGTTTCAAATTAAGCTCATGCAAGCAGTCTAGCGAACCTTGTTTTCAGGTTCTCATGTTATTGTCTTACTTTCCACCTTCCTAATTTCCCCTAATTATCATCATTACCAAACTAACACATAATGTAAAAAGCTTAGCAATTCACCACGACCTCTGGTTCATATTTTTTCCTGGTCTTCCATTTCTTAATTTTTAAAATATCAGGTTCTTCTATGACACACTTTAGAAATGCTTTAATCTTGCCAATCCAATACTAAATTGACATTTTACACTTGGTATACATTTTTTTAGTTTCCATGTATGCCATTTGTGTAAAAATCAGCCCCTCTGCTGAGTAACACTCAGTATAGATCTGGGCTGTCCAACTGGTGGCCTGCAGGCCATATACTGCTCACAAGGGGTTGATCTGAGGCCACCAGGGTCCTACCCAGCTACTGCTCCCTTTGTCACTCTACCTGCAGCAGCAGTTGGGGTCTCTGGGCTCCCTTCCCTCCTCTGGCTTTCACTTTCTACTCCCTGTCCATCTGTGCTGTTGGGGGAGACTGCCACCTGGGGCACCCACATGTAGTACAGTGGGGAAGCACCCACATAGTATGCAGTTCAGGGGGCCTGTGGCTCATGCTGGTGCAGTCTGAGCAGCACGTGGCTCCTCACTGGTGTGGCCTGCAGGCAGTGGCGATGGGGTAGGGAGTGCATGGGGGTGCGTGTGTACTTCCTGCAAGTGCTGGTGCACCCCAACTGGCCGTGCTCCCCACTTAGGTGAGGGCAGGTGGGAGTGCCAGTGCTCCCCCTGAAAGCACCAGCTGGGGTGTGGGAGTGCAGGATGTAGTGCTGTGGCTAGTTCTAGAAGTGCTGCGGCTGCTTCCTGGTCAGCGAGATTGGCCACGGTGAGACGCCCCACCCTGGTTGCTGACTGGTCACTGGGGGGTGGGCATCAGTCCATGCCTGCAGGGCATGCAGCTAAACACTGCTGTAAAGCAGCTGCACTTCCTCATTTTCAAGAGATGCTGCATGCAGGGTGGGAGAGAGTGGGCTGAATGTGCTTTGTGGAGGGCTCCCAGGTGTTGGCACAGAGGCAGTCACAAAGTGTAGTTATTTCCTTTCTACTGAAGTGGTAAATCAGCACAATGCCTCTACAATGGACTCCGTTATAAAGGAGATTTCTAATGTTACAGCTCACCCCTTTTCCCTTATGAGAATAAGCTGTGCAGATTTAAGCACTTTTATGTCTGTATAACTGCAGCCACACTGGGTGTGTTGTACCACTAACTGTGCAAAGTTGCTTGAAGCAGTACAGTTTTTATGAGTACACAAACCCATAGTTGGGCGGGGG